GAGTGTGTTGGGGGGGGGGGAGACAAGTTGTTTTAAAAAAACAGAAGTACATTTTACGTACTCCTAGACCCCGTCACTAAAGAGAACTTTTATTTTATAGAATGTACCAATTCCATCGATACCTTGTCCTATTTTTTATAAGGGCGCGGCCGTGCGCTGAAAATCTCAATGTACATTGGTACAAGCTGATCAAATGTTTTGTTTAATATCTACTAAGAAAGCATCCGGTGCACTTTTCTCTTATCCAATGAAATGCTCTGTATATAACGGTTTTGTGGGGGGGGGGGGAAACTCGTTCTCGTTCATACTGACCTGTAATCAAGGATGTATTCTATCAAAATGCTTAAGATGTCTACCCTGGAGGGGTCTGCTTGTAGATGAATATGGAATCCACGATCTCGTAATTGGGGGGGATCCATGAAAACCACTACGAAGGTGGTCAAGGGGCCGTAACGGCAAGATGGTGTGACCGTCTGTATCTGGGGTTAGGGAAAATGGCCGATTCCCTCACATTACTATAAAGAAGTTATCAGAGATGGGGACTCTTGCATCAAATTTAGACATCATCTTCTCTGCCCTAACATATCAATTAAAAAAAGAAAAGGCGCAGTTACGCGTCAATGATGCTGCTAAGCTTAGACAGTGGGGCCTCATCTACAAAAGCACCTTAACCATCTATGATCACAGTCTGGCATCCCAGCCACTCCGCTGACGCCGGTGTTCTCCTTTAAGACCCCTTTATCAATAAGGCCGTGTGCCATCGGCGCAAAAACACAAATTCTCTGCAGAAATCGCCATGTACATCTTAACATTTTTTTAGACGCATTTCTGAGTCAACAATCTGTATTCACGAAAGAAAAAAAAACTAAAACAGTCAAGGTGATAGTCTGTGGTTACTGTAAAATAGCTTTTTATATGAGGAAAAAAACTTTATTGTACCCTAACTGTAAAATACAATTTTTTTCTAAGTAGAATAAAAGAAAATCTACTATGTGGTCAGTTTGATTCTTTCTTGTTTTTTTTAAATGCATTTCTGGTGATATTTTATAGCTTAGCTGAAGGAGAGGCACTTATAGGGGAAGGTGTGGAGGTTGTAGGGGGGAAGGCTGTCATTGTAATGTCACTTTCACATTTTTTACAAGCTCGCAGTTCTATAGTTGGATGATGTGTAGAGTCTCCAGCAGCTGCCGCGACAATGTTGATGAATACTGCGGACTGTCCTGATTTGCAGCTGATCACATGCTTGTGGTACAACAGCGAGATCCTTCACCAGCATTCTGGATGCCCATCACTAGCACTCTATGGCAGCAGTAGATGGGTACCACATCTTCCAAAGTCACTGGCCCGTGTACCCTCTCAAAAATGCCTCCTTCCCGTCATCACTAGGCTCATTATCCCTCCACTAGTGCCCTCCTGAGGTCTGACTTTCATGGTCCTGTTAGCTGCCTCAACTGATGCTGATAAGTGCTGCTGTCTTCCAGCTCCTAAGTATCCATAATGGTGATATACACAATACCCTTTAGCTTCCGGATGTGGCATTTTTAAAATGTTGTGCCCACTCAGAACACTGTCCCTTTTAGACTGAGAATATTGCATGACAAACTTGGGTACCTACAACAAATTCACGTGCCTGTTGGAAATTGGTACATGAATGTGTCATATGGTCGGGGACAGCACTGAGGCTAGAGTGTACATATCACAGACTTCCTGTCCTTCGTGCATGTTTAGCCCCTGGGCTGCACAGCATCATTGGTTGCTATGACGCGGTCGGCTGCACAGCATCGTTGGTTGCTATGACGCTGTCGGCTGCTCAGCATCATTGGTTGCTATGACGCGGTCGGCTGCACAGCTTTAATGGTTGCTATGACACTGTTGGATGCACTGTCATTGGTTGCGATGGTGCTGTCTGTCCAACAATGTCCTAGCAAACAAGGAGGCTGTGCAGCCGACAGTCATAGTACCCAAGGACACTATGCAGCAAACGGCATCCTAGCAAGCAGTGACGCTGTAGGCTGACTGTCCTAATGCGCACCAAGAGCATCCTAGCAGCCAATAATGCTGTGGGCCGACTGTGCCCTAGCAACCGCTAAGTCTGTGGACCAATAGCATCCTTGCAAACGATGGCGCTGTGCCCAACTGTGTCCTAGCAACCAATGAGACTGTGGACTGACAGAATCCTAGCAACCACTAAGGCTGTGGACTGACAGAATCCTAGCAACCAATGAGGCTGTGGACTAACAGAATCCTAGCAACCAATGAGGCTGTGGACTAACAGAATCCTAGCAACCAATGAGGCTGTGAAAGTTCCTCACTAACGCTGAAATGGCGCTATTTGTTAGTGAATCTATCGCAGCCCTAGAGACACATTGGCGCATACTTGCTCAGCCGATTTTCTATACCGGACATCCCAGAGTCTGCCTCCGAACAAGATGCCAGAGACCTCATGGATGTATTCAGCACAGCAGCATGTTCCTATTCCTCGGATGAGCTGCTCAGACGGGGCCCTCCAGCTGCTGTGAACATTGAAGGAAGACTGAAGGTAGTGGGGCCATTAAAGAATCGGTGACTATAAATCCATTTAATTCCATATCCTGTTATAAATATTTACAAGTATACAGAACTGAACTAAAAAACAGGCCATGTGCCCCCAGATCACATGCACTTGATTGCAAGCTTTGCAGGCAACTGAATGGGAATGTCCATAGAAAGATTTAGTTTACTAAAGTGTTTGTTTTCCTGGATAGAGTAGCGAAGACTCAGACCTTGACACTCCGGCTGTGGTGGGACTACGAGTCCCATGAGGAATTGTAAGACTCTTGAGACCCACAGGCATGACTACCAGCGGCCGATGCATTATGGGATTTGTAGTTCCACCACGGCTGGAGTGCCAAGGTTGCCTACCCCTGGGTTAGACCTCTTGTTAGGTTTTTATTACTGTCTGTGTCTCCAGGAGGGAGAGTAACCCCTCTACATATCCTAGTGACTTATCTAGCATATTAGCGTTGTCACCAGAACAGGATACGGTAACAGGATACGGTGGTCAGTCCTCCAATGGGGACACCTGCTCCAATGCCAACTGCATCTCACTTCCTGTAGCATCTCAATGACAGGAAGTGAAGGGAAATCTGCCCAGTTGAACACAGACTGCAAAATGATCACTGGAAATGAGTTTTTAACTCTGCTAGACATTGGGGTCTGTTTGTAAAGTGCTTTATGTGCCTTTGACCAAACATTCATTAATGGTGAATCAATTGTGCTCATTAAAAACACACGATTCACCTTCAGTGAAAATGTAATGGCAGTAATTGATAAACGAATGTGAGATTCACTGCTAAATGTACAGAAGCCTTATCCCGGAGACGTCAGAATATAGGACTGTAGGGTAGCTGCACACACACACTGCATGTCCCAGGAGACCAGCACGGGGAAATCCGGGACCATTGTCGGTGTGGCTTTCAACCTGATTACTGATATCTGGATTCCTATTTTCACACATATGGAAATACTCCAGTGCAAAGTATAGGGACGCTGTGGCCGGCGACACATTTGCGGGTAGCCGCCATTTTGTTGGATGGGTACGCACGTCATACAGGTGCGCCTGCATCACGTGCCTCCCACCTCCTCTCCGGGGAAAGCTGTTGGCGCCGGTGTTCACACCGGTCTCCGGTTCTGGCGGTTGGCGGTATCCGGATCCTCGTACTCATTCCCGGAAGGAGCGAGGGGACCCTGGACACCATCCGAGAACAGCGTGTGGCCGTGGCGGCAGCTGGGGGATAGGCGGGGGCGGAGTTAGTGCGGGGACAGGTCACGTGAGGAACGTCAACACCAGCCAAGACCTGAGCATAGGCGGGAGCGTGGTTAGTGCGGGGACAGGTCACGTGAGGAGGGTCAGCAACAGCCATCAGCCTCAATCCTCCCCCTGCGGAACTAGCTGATGCCCGCTGGGCGCCAAACATTCCTATAGGGCCAAAGTGACCAAAAAGTGTGCCGCAGACCAAATTTGGCCACTGTATTTTTATTTATTTTATTTGATATGCGCTTATTGCGGACGGATTCATATCCGATTCTGCGGACCGTCGTACTGTAGTTTGCAGATTTTCCGCCTTGTTTCAGGATGGAAGCGTTTTTTAGTCTCACTGATTTGTCGTTTTTTTGGCGCTCTGGACGTTTTTCATTGATTGCTTCTAGGAAGTTATATTTAAAGTTGTTGCTTCAGTCGGGGGAATTGGCTCCCTATTGACCGGTGTTGGGGCCCTATTTTGGTATTTGTGATTGGTATTGGCTATTTATGATTGACCTGCGTTCTGTACATATTGCCCTCGCACTCTTATAAAAGGCCCTCGGGGGCGGGGAGCCAACCAGCAGAATGTGAATTTTTGAAGGTGGTGCAGATGTTTAAATTTACCCGACTTCATCAGATGGATCCCCAGCTTGAGGGAGAAGGGGTGGAGCCTAGCTTTTTCCCAATCAGCAGCTCCTCTGGTGCCTCTTAGTACCAGCCCATCAACCTAACCAGCCAAAGTGGCTTCCCCTGCTCCAGCAGTAGGTGTTGTGAGCTTCACCCTGATGCCTGAAGGCAACACTAGCTGATCCCATCTTGCATGCGTTTATGTATGGCAGCAGGGCCACCAAAGTGCCAAAAAGAACGTGGTAATTATTATTAATAATCATCTGAAGTAGAGGTGCGCCGAAATGGAAATTTCTAAAACGAAACCGAAATACAAAAAGTTGTCAGGCCGAAACTGAATTTTTTTTTATTTTAATGTTTTCAGATTCTTTAAATATTTTATTATTTATTTTTTATATTTTTTTTTTTTTATTTTTTACTTTACTTTTAGGGGCTTTGGGGAAATATTGGGGCTCTAAACAGACCCCTGAGATTTCCCTTTTAAAATAGAAAAAGAGATTGAGAACACAAAGTCCTCAATCTCTTTTTCTGTGTCCCCTGTTATCAATGAACAGGAATCCTCAATGAGTGTTCTTGCTCATTGAGAACAGAGTATGTTTACTATAACTACAATCATGAATGGACAGGAGGGGATGTAGGTGACTTCCCATCCATTCATAAATTGAGGATACAGTAACCATAACATGTCCTCAATTATCTACAAACACTCAGCGATCACTGATCACCGACTTGTACCCGCTCTCCTCTCTGACAGCTGCCACAGGAGGCTGAGCGAGCAGAGCAGGGAGGAGAGGCTGTCTCCTGTGACAGCACAGGCTGTCTCCGCCCCCACACCGCTCTGCCGGACTGTGATAGGCGGCTGAGCGACGTGGGAGGAGAGACACCGGCCGCTCACAGCGCTCTCCTCCCGCAGGGCTCGGCCGGCTGTCACTTTCTCTCCTCCCCGCTGTGACCCAGAGCTGCGCCCAGCGGGAGGAAAGAAATCACGGATGCACCGATGTATCGGCAGGAAAATGGCACTTTCGGCATTTAGCCAAAAGTGCCATTTTCAGCCGATATGTTTCGGCGGCCGATATATCCGTGCCTCCCTAATATTACCATCATCAGAATTATATTATTATTATTAGTAGTAGTTCATTAGTAGAAGTAGTAATAGTAGATTATTGTGGTTATTATTGTTACTTTTATTGGTAGCAGTAGTAGCTTACTAGTAGTAGTAGACTATAAGAAGTAGTATATCAGTATTTTTATAGGGTGGGCTAGGGTAATAGTAGTATTTTTTATTGTTGTTGTTAGTAATAGTAGTATTTTGAATATTATTATCCTAAAACGTGACCATTGTGTGTGATCTTGTCACAGTCCTATATACCCCTAGCTGTGATGCTCTATGACTGAAAATACCTTTGTACATGGATGGTTTTTACACTTGGGGCGCCTCAAGGTTTTGCATACTTTGAAAGGGTGCTGTGACTAGATAAAGGTTGCGCAGCGCTGGAATAGAGAAGCACCGGGATAGAGCATGGGCGGAGTTTCCTACAAATCATTTCAGGTCCCCATTGTCACCTGGCCCCATAGCAGCCTCATGGGCACTTACGGCTTTAGTTACACCCGGGATCCTGCACTGTCATAGAGGGTGATGATGAGTCCTAATTAGTGTCCCCCGAGGTGGAAGACTTCTCTGCCGTGTCTTCATGTTCTGTTGGGAAGGTTTCGTGGTTCAGAGCCATATTATAAAAGTTGTCTCCTTTCCTCCCAGGCACAGGATACGGATGTACTAGGACCAGCTGAAACTGTGTGTTCCCGTCTGTAACGTGGAGACGGATGAAGCCGCAACAATAAAGTGGACGGCGAGCTCTCAGAAATACATCCAAGAGCAGCATGGAGCTCCCCTGAAGAAGGTAGCGTAGGTCATGTCATACTGTATGGCCAGAAATGGGCACCTCACCATCACACCTATACAAGGTTGTCGGGCATTCCAAAACCATGGACACTAATATGGAGTTCTCACCTTTGGGGCTATAACAGGCTGGGCTCTTCCTGGAAGGCTTGCCACAAGATTTTGGAGGGTGTCTGTGGGAATTTGGGCCCATTAAGCCAAAAGAGCATTCATGAGGTCAGGTACTGATAGTATGATGATGTCTTATTCTCATCCAACATGTGTTTGTGAAGCTGGGGTGGGGGTGGGGGGGCACAGTCATGCTGGAACAGAAGAGGGCCTTCCACGAACTGTTCCAACAAGGTTTTAAGAGCACAATTGTCTTTGCTTGTTGTAGCATTACCCTTCACTGGAAATACCTCAACTCATAAATATGGAAGGGGGTTCACTTACTTTTGGCCATGTAGTGTATGTATGGCTGTGTGCCATTGCACTGTGATTTACTCTGCTGTGATCCCCTTTCTGCCTTCCCAGCACAACCGGGAACATGTTTAAAGTTAGACCTCCAGACTAAGATGAAATACATATATTGGAGCTGTACTACCTGCCAAAGAATTTCTACTTCTGCCCATGTAGTTATTATTATTATTATACAGGATTTATATAGCGCCAACCGTTTGTGTAGCTCTTTACAATATAAGGAAGACATTACAGTTCTGAGATTTGCACAGCTCTGCCACACAGCACGGCCCTCACTGGCAGGGTGATCAGCCTGATTTTCTCTGCTGCAGCTAAGTAACCATTACAGGTCTTGTTCCTCCCCCAGCCTGCAATTGGACAGTGAAAGGAGAAGCAGCAGACTGACAAGCTCATCTCTCTTGTCATTCTGCTGTCTTCCCTCATCAGCATGAGCATTGCAGCACAACGTATTGGCTTCCAAAGAACGTGGTGATAGGAGGAGAGGGCCGAGATGAGCTGCTACTCCATTCACTGTCCACTGCCAGGCAGAAACCACCTTGCGGTAGACAAAAGTACCGTGGGGGACATTTCTGGATTGAGGGCCGGTTCACACCACAAAGAGTGCGTTCCAGAACGCAGGCATTAACGGGTTCGGGTGACGGCGATCGCACTGTGGGCGGGTCTGTGGCGCCATTGACTTCAATGCCACGCCCCTGAACGCAGGGAGCCGGCCGAGTTGCGTTCCAGAGGCATTCTTTATGGTGTGAAGCGGCCCTGAAGCTGAATATTGCAGCGATGGCTGCTTTGGTTTTATCCTTTGATGGGCTGTTTTTTTTATATTGCTGTTTTTAGCAGATGAATATAATCCCTGCTCACCCTGCTATTAAGGTCCTTGTTCATTCACTTCCTGTTATAGGGTGACAACCGCCTCTGATTTGGTCAGATTTGTAGATGTAGTGCCAGACATCAGATGCTGACCAGTCAATCTGAATACTGCCCCGGCCTGCCCAGAGCTGTGCACATTGCGTGTCTTATACTGAATCCATCCCGGGGCCATGCACTTAGCTGGGGACACCATTCTTCTCCATGGCCGGGCCCTGGCAGGGGAACGCATTTACAATCCGGATCATGAGGCCGGAGAGTTTTCGGGGTTCTGTTTATCATTTCGAAGTCATATAAAATGTATTTGGTGCATGCGTAATATATTTCTTTTGTGACTTCTCCTTCATTGCACTCTTGTCTTTTAACCAGCAGGCATTTGAGAGCGCTTACAGCCGAACATCAGAGATGAAGTCCAAAGGCAACCCACTTTATGAGCCGTTCAGCGAATCTCAGACAGCACCTGACTGTCTGTCACATGACCCTTCTCAGCTGCACTACAGAATCCAGCATTGCAAGCAGAGCCGACCCAACGGTTGTCATGCTGAGACAATTCCGACCCAGGAATAAGGACTATTAGGTTTATTATGACTCTTGGGGGTTGATTTACTAACCTTATAAACACACCACGAACATGTATACTCCTCTGTAGTGTGTTCCCTCCCAGCATGATCTATGGGTGGAATCTAAACACCTTTGTAGTGTGTACACACCCAGCAGGTGTGTTGTGCAAAGCCTTGCCCTGAATTGCAAGGTGATGTTGTGTAAATTAGCTCTACGTTGTGTTGCTTGCGTTGATGAATGCAGGAATATAAATGCATGAGCTAACCATTTTTGTCTAAACTGTGAAGCAGCATTATATATGCATCATGTGCATGATTTTTCCATGTATGGCATTAGTGGAAACATGCTTTTAGAGACTTTTTGGTTGATAAATACATTTTGCTGTGTGAAAATCACACGCACCTGGTGCGTGCGTGTGTTTAGGTTAGTAAATCACCCCCTTTGAGTCAAAGTATTGAGGCCACAGGTTTTCCTAAGGAGGTCAGCATCGGCATCACCCGTATTTCATTCATGACAGGTTCCCTTTACTCATTGTGGAGATGTTTCCGTAGCTAACTTGGATTCGCCATCCAGGAACTGATATTCCAGAGGCTCCGTCTTCTACCAACAGCAGCGTTCTTTATATATATATTTAGTTATTTGTATATAATTATATGACATGTTTGTGCATCCTTATCGGTGTACTGCCTTTGATCACGCTCACCCCTTTTTGTCGTATTGGGCACACAAGCCTGTTCCCTCCCCCCTGTAGCAAGAGCGCGCCGTTCTCAGTCGTCAATAAATGGCACGATGTCTTGATGGAATTCCGTGTGGTGAAAGTGGCTTTATTCAATTCTTACAGCTTGCATTGTACACAAAAGTCACCAAAATAAATACTAAAATGTCAATCACCGATATTCACATTGTTTTGCAGCCGTTTATTTGTCCGCGGTACGCTAAAACAGGACGGGTTTAAAATCATGAGGGGGGTTTTTAC